TAGAGCGCTGACATGGTTTTGCTAGCACTAGTAATAAGGATACAGAGAGCATGCAGGAATTTCTTCCTTTCATTTTCTTAATAAGACCACTTCTGCACTTGCTACTGTAGGTGGCACTGAGCTAATGGAAGAGGATGTGTCCCGTTTCTGGCAGTGCTGATGCAACAGCACTTTGACTGGAAAAAACCTATGACCGTAGTCCCTAATTCTGCCATGTGGTGCACACACACACTGTTGCTGCAGAGCTAGGGTATTAGGTCACATTTAAATGATTATTTTTCTGTTCCAGAAACAATCAAGACTGAAGTTAAATCATTTTGATCCAACTGAAATTCATTCCTATTCAAGATTCAATTCCTGGGAGAATTTTGACATTTGAAAGGCATGTTTCTCCTAATTTCCGTTCTCGGTAAGGTGCTATTTTTAAATTATAAATGATCCTCTGAAACATTTAGCTCGAGATGTTGAGGACAGCACCCTGATTAGTTAACACAACTGCTTCACAACGGGCTTTGCTTTCCATTCTAACTGATTAATTATGATGACTTTGCAGATTAACATAATTAATGGCACCGGAGCAGAGGGAGGTGTCAACTATTCTGACCCCCTCCAGCTCTCGGGGAGGGGTTTGGCAGGCACTGCCGCTTTCCGGCACTGCTAGAGAGTCAGCAGGGGCTCGCACCACCCGAGACTTGGTCTGAATTTAGACTGAGCAGTTGCGCCCTGTTTGGGAAGCGTCCAGGTGGCCTGAATACTTGCGTGTCCTTCGTGTCCTGGTTCTGCCCTCTGTGCGTCTCTAGGCAGGCACAAGGAGTTGGGGCTTTGCACAAAACTTGGAGTACGAAAGGCGGCAGGAAGCCCTTCAAAGACCTACCTGCAATGTGTGGAGAGAAGAGGAGTGTTTGTAAGGAACAGGTCAGTCTGTTAAACATCTGCTGGAAGTATTACACAGCTCAGGAAACACGTCACTGGATTTCCAGTGGCTATAGATGATACCTTATGGCCTGTATGATATTGTGTCCAGTGTAAGGTAACTAGCTGAGACCTCGTAAGGACGAGGGAGACCGGGCTGCAAGCTGGCAGCTGCCTGAGGAATAGCAATTACGACTTGATTGCATTCATTTTCAGCAAACAGAAAACAAAGTCTAAGGGAAATACAGGTACTTGGCCTTTCACAGGGACAGATTTACCATCACTAAGAACATTAGAAGGATGAAAAAAGTAGGCAGAAAAATGCGAATAAACATTAGGAGCGTCCTTAAAATGAAATTACTAAATAGCTTTAAAAAAAAAAAATCCCCGACCTAGCAATTGTCAAAAAGGAGACCGTGATCGCTGGCTCGGTGACAACATTTTGCTGTTCCCAGTATCTCCAGCTAACTTACCATTCCCTGCCGTGGTTGAAAACTGTTCCTTGGCCATTTTGCACCTGCTGGTTTAGCTACTGAAGACTGCAACTTCCACGCAGCTCAGGAGTGCTGCCGTAGCCCTGTAGCTTAGGAATGATGGCAGCGACTGAGAATAAAGTTTTATTCTATTAAGCCAAGAGGTGATTTCTGTACTTCTGGTGTCCTCTGCTTGTAGAGTCTTAAGCTGGCCAGACCTTGTATGAATCCTGGGAGCTGCTCTGCAGTGGGCTCTGGAATTGCTCCGGTGGGTTTAGCCTTGGCGCTTAGTTGGGCCCCGGCATGTCCTGAGCCTGCGTTCGAGGGAGCTCGGCGGCTGTTCCTGCAGAGCAGTCCTCCACCGCTGCCCTCCGTCCGCGCGGGCACAGTCCGTGGCCCGTCCTCCGTGCGGTCGGGGACCAGCGGCAGGAAGAGAAGCCGGCGCTCCTGATTCAGAGTCCTTTGCTTTAACTGCTAGATCTGAGTGACTCGGGGCCGAGGGAAGGTGTTGCCTGAGAGAAGGGAGGTCAGCGGTTGCAGGAGGCTGGGAGGGCAAGAGCCGCTCGCTGCGGGGAGCTTACCGCCGGGCCTGCCGCAGGGGAGAGGGCAGAGCTGCCTGTGCTGGTCATCGCGCTCTGAGCTAGCGCTGCAACCTGGAGCCCAGAGCAGCGTGGCCAAAATGCACTGGGAAAGGCTGTGAGCTGCTTGTCAGCTTAGGCCAACGAACCAACAGGCCTGGGCCAAGCGTCTATCTAGCGGTCCGTCTAGTCTGAAGTCCTTCTATAACTGGCGTGGGTTGCCACCTCTTCAGGCTCACGCGCAGATGTACGTGTTACAAGGCACAAACACAACAGCTGCCTGGTGGTCAGGAGAGAGGCCATGGGGTGACTGGGGTGCAGGCCGGTCCCGGCATCCCGGCAGAAACGCGCGGATGTGCGTCCGCTCTCCTGCACCTGCTCCAGGAACGGAGACAGGAACGCAGGTTCCTGTCTGAGAATCCAGCACTTTTCGCAGGACTTAATTTCACATTTCATTAATGGCAAAACCCAGAAAATATTGGAGCAGGCTGTTAAACAGCTCCTTAAAAATGTCATCGTCCCGAGGGAATCACACAGCAGCCTGAAAAACTCTCCACCTCCCCCTTTCTGTTTGCCTTGGGTTGCCCTTTCCCAGACTCCAGCTGTTCTCAGGCAAAGCCGGAGGAACTGCCCTGATTATCACCTTTGCTCAGATGTGGATTGGGCATTTGACTTTCTACTTACACCAGCAATTAGAAGGCCGCTATGAAAGGCAAAGTGTCAGACACTCTTTGTAGGAGTTTGTGAAATGCAAAAGTGGGGGGAGGCAAGAGAGGGAGAGGAAATAAGGTCTCACCAGCAGGATAAAGATGCAACTTATCATAGATTTTGAAAGAAAATGGGAGAGCAGCCTTGGTTCAAAAGAAAACACGGAAGGATCACACAGGGCAATTTAATTCAGCTACCAATGGCGTTTAATATAGATTGAAGCCTCTGTTCTTGCTCCTAAAATGTAATAGTAATGGAGAGGGAAAGCTTCTGTCACAGTAAAGTGCTGCTGTCCTGCCCGAGCCTCTCCTGGGAGAAAAGCTTTCATGAGACTTAATAGATTTCCCTGTGTCCAGCTCTATTAAGTATTCCAGGAGCTCACGGGTCGTGTTTTGAGAAATGCCGTGCAGGCAGCTCAGAGCGCACATCCGTGATCAGCTTTAGCCCGGATATACTGGCACTGCAAACAATTACACGAGTGCTTAATTTTAAGCATGGGACTAACAGGGCTTTAAGCACTAAATGTGAAAGGCACACGTTTCTTTCTTTTTCTTGAGCACCAAGTGGGTGATTTGTGCTTTCAATATTGCAGGAGGTTGACCACTGTTTTAACATTGTTTTTGCCTTAAAGCATCTTTCCTTTTTTTTTTTTTTTCTGGAAATCATTTCTACTTATATGTGCTTCATTAAGCCCCTGCGCTGCTCTTCCTTTTTTTGCAACGGAACATAATTGTTAATGCTGAAACAAGCTGCCACCCTGTACATAAGATGTTCTCTCTTTCCTCAGGGACTGCGTTGCCACTCAGATGGAAAGAATAACATGACAGCTTGACAGGCTACGCATATGTTACAGGTTGTACCAATATAAAAGCAGCAAGATAGCACACAAAAGAGATCACGGAAAATGCAGCCTGGACCAAAGATGACAGGCTGGGAGATCGTTTTCTGCAGCACTGGCTGATGTCAGGAAAAGCCCCAGGTGTGGCAATATTTCACTGACAGTCTTCTGCCTAGGAGTTTGCACTATAGAAATCTCTTGCGTCTTCCCCGCTTCAGACAGGTCCCTGAGCCTGCTGCAGTGTCACTGCAAAGCCTGCTGAAGTTACGAGCATGCTTGAAGAGACACGTGCTGTGTGTCCCCTGTTACATGAACGCTGTGCCTGTGCTATTTGGGCACATCACCGTGCTTTTCATTTCCGAGCTGTTGTCACAGAGAGAGGAGGATTTAGGTAGCAATGTCCTGTCCCCCACAAAAAGAGGGGATTTTTAACCCAGGCGTGGGTTTAAAAACTACCCACAGATTGCTCGCAGGTTTGTGCCCTGTCCCCCTACTGCAATACCTGCAGCTCTCCCCACCATAATGCCGGCTCTCCTGAGGCCGTCGCCAGCCCCCTCCTCATCTCCCCTAGCTGTGAGCCACAGCACGGTTTCGTACACCTTGCTTCCATAGGAATCCAGAGCAAAAATGTGTTTGGCCTCTAAGCCGAAAAGATTAGCCACTCTGTGCCCTTAATAGATGACAAAGTCAGTCCCCCGGCTGAGGTCCCGCTCTGGCCCAGCCAGCCTTGTCCCTTCGCTGCCCCATGGGCAGCGCAAGAGGAGTGGGATGCTCTGTGGTGCAGGTTCCCAGCAGCGGGGCAGCAGAGGAGGTCCCAGTCCATGTCCACGCCACTCTCTCCAAGGAGCCTCCACCAGGCACCGGGGTGTCCCCCGAACCTGGCTGGGCAGCTTGGCTCCCCGTGCTGCTGGGCCCACCAGGACTGCAAAGGATTTCTCCCAGGCTTGGGGCATGATGCCATCCCCTGTTTTTAGGTAAACAGAGTCCAAGTGCTTAGGGTCGAAAGGAAGCCAGGGTTAATGCTCTTCATTCTCATGCAGAGACCAGTCCAAACGCTATCTTCCACAGGAGCAGACTGGTGTATGGATAAATGGGCTGCTTTGTTCTTCGTGGTAATAGCTGATCTCAAGGCCTTTGGCCTATTCCCCACCCTGAAATGGGGTACAGAGGAACTGGGTAGTGAATGGCAATTTCATTCAGATAGATGCTGCATAGTCATGAGAAGGAAACAGCCAGAGATCCCCTGGCTCATCTAGCTCATATTTAAGTAACCCATGGTGCTCTAGTGCTCTACATCCCAGCGCTGGTAACTGGTGAGTCCGTACTTTCATCTTTTTCCTCTCCTTAGAAGGCTTTTTTTTTTTTTTTTGGTCATGAGTGTTTGCACTAGCAAAAGGTGCCAGCCTATCCACTGGCCAAGGCAGGGATGACTAGGTGACCTCAGACCTGACATTGCTCAGGGCAGCAGGGACGCTTGACACTTCAGCCTTCCTGATGTATGAGCAGAAACCACCGCTGTGTCCCTCTTTTCACCTGATCCATGGCCCACAGCCGGACACACTCATTTAGGAGTCACCACACCAGCAGTGGGTTCAGACAGTGCCTCTGGGACAGCACCTTACCAGAGAGGACTACTGGTGACCACCTCAACTCCGGAGTGGCCAATACTTTGCTAGATTTTAAGCCGAGGAAAGGAGTCTAACACAGCATGTGGAACTCATCATCATTAGCAACACAGGGGCCAACAGTTCAGTACAATTCAAAAAAGGATGAAACCAAATTATCACTGGTCTTCTTCAGGGGACCTGTTACTTAGATGTCCACGAGTAAGGGTCAGGGTTAATACGCTTTACCTAGGAATGGGGTGGAGGGATATCTTTCAGGACGACAGTTTCAATTTATTGCCTACACATGCTGTGGTAGCACTACCGCAGCTCGCATTGAGAGCGTCATCTCTTGCCTGTCAGAGAGGTCTCTAGATTTTCTTTTCAACAAAGCGTTAGCTTCAACTCTGCACAAGCTCACAGAGACATGCTGGTGGTATGCGCTCCACCTACTGATTCAAACTAGACCCTGCCTGCTTGAGTAGATATTCTTTATCACAAGCAGTCAAAATCATACATGTAACTGAGAACAGCTGTTACTTGTGTGGGCATCTATAGCAATTGGACATTGGAGTACATTCAGAAATATTACAGATTTTTTTCCCTCCAATTTCAGACATAAGAATAACTATAAGCAAACACATGGCTATTTTAATATTTACATTTTATTGTTTCTTTGAGTTTGAAAGCACATAAGACTAGAACCATATCCCTAAGTTGAAGTAACCGTAACACACAGCCAGAAAAATAAGGCCTGATTCTACAAACTATTACTCTTGAGAGTAAAACTAAGTCCTAGTATTCCCATTGACTTCAGGACTCTAAATTCGGCCTTAAAACTGTGCTAACCCCATGGTAGAGGGGCCAAAAATATACTCCTCTGAGTTCTAGACAATATTTTATGTACATATATATGTATATATCTATACAATACACATATACATATATATTCACATGCTATACATGTGTGTGTGTGCGCGCGCGTATACAATATATACATATAAGTGCTTCTGCTCTACAATTCACAGTAAACACGACCTGGACAGGCATGGACAAAATCACAAAGCACCAGGCGTCTAGAATTAAAAGCTGAACCCACGCATTAGCTCTTCACCTAGCAATGATCACTTGTTTTTCTCTTTTGCCTGTAGCTGTTTGCAATGCTCTGGACTGATGTAAGTCAGAAGTAGCGCCATCAAATTAAATAGAATTAGGCTAGCGTAAGATCGGCCCAGAGAAGCATTAGGCTCCGTAGGTACATTTTCCTGCCCCGCATACGTATCTTTGTGAAATCCTGTGCTCCTCTGAGCTCGTCTGTACGGACAGTGCCTTTAACCACATCCTCTCTGTAGGGGAGCGGGGAGCATAGGAGAGCCGCAGCCTTGGCCACTGCTGAACTTTGCAATTGGGGAGCTGGAAGTCCCTGCGACCGCCTGCCGTTATGAGAGGAAGGGGGTTAGCCAGGCACAACCTCCTCTCAGGGCACCCGGCAGCTCTGGTCGCCAGCCTGCATTGCTGGACCGCGGCAGGCTCTGGGCCGGGCTACAGGGAAGGAAGAGACTCAGTGACATCTCATTTTTCCCCGCAAGAGCTGCTGGGCCCTGGCAGGTTATCTGCACTTACACCAGTGCCATATTGTCCGTAACGCAGCTGCACTTCTCGACGATCATGTTTGGAAATTCGGCCACTTCTATTTCAGTGTAGTTGTCCCGCTTGACAAGGTACATCATGGGGAGAGGGGAGCTCTCCACCACGGCACAGGCTCTGTCCCCGTAGCCGAAGTGACGCAGCAGGCTGCCGGGCTGCAGGCAGCCCCCCGAGCACTGGTAGGCCTGGTACCCTGCCGGCTCGATGACCCAGTACTGCGTCCACGTGAGCTCCCGGAAGTTGATGTAGTGTTTCTGCCGGCAGCAGGTGGACTTCCCCTTCACGGTGTCCTCCTTACAATCGCCAGGGCCCCTGCATGCGAAGGAAACAAAAAAGAAGTGCCTCTGTTACACGAAGTCAGGAAGGTGGGGGAAATAATCCCTGCTGTACAGGCGGGCCCTCAGTCATTAAGCTTGGACCTAGCTCTTGTTTAGTTTGAACAGTCAAACAACAAAATGAGGCCAGCAAATCTGGGAAGAGGAAGGGTATGATTCAGCAGCAACTCCTAGCTACTCCAGCAGCTTACTTCTGAAGGCAAGAGCTGCACGTCTTGGGTTTGGGTTTGCACACACCATACTATAATTTAGCAGCAAAGTTACATCAGAGACAGCAGAGATTTAGGTTTCATACATACCCATAGTCTTCCAAGTCGAGGGTATAAAGCACCAATTCAGGTTTGCCTAAGGCTTTATCCCTGGGGTCCTGAGAGGTAAAACGCACAGCTTTGGCCATTTCCGAGGCATAGCTGCCTACTCTTTCTCCTTCGATCCAGACCTCCAGAAGCATTGGCTCCCGCCTCTTGTTTCGTAGCCAGTAATGCACAGCCTGCGTCACGTCAAAGTTCTTCCAGCCCGACTCTCGTATGGGAACCAGCCTGTGCAACAAGGGCTCAGTTGAAGAAAAAAGCCCATCAGGTAATGCCTGGGCTCACAGCACTATTGCCACAGAATAATTTGCTTCCTGTAGCTTGTCACATGCCCTGATTACGTGATAATTCTTGCTGAGCACTCTGGGCAAGCAATTAACTCATAGCTCTAAAAGAAACACACAAAGCACATGAATCGAGCAGACACTGGAGGGCTAAGTAAAAACCTTTACATACACTCATGTCAAGGGATTCGTTCACGGTGGTACTGAAATGCAGCCGTGCAGGATTATACGCAGCCGCAGCATTCTTGACTACAGCCTGGTAAACGTGACTTTTTCCCAGCTCCTCGTGTCCTAGCGGTATTAGGGCCATAAGTTTCTACCCACCCAGAAAATTTGTGTGATGTCGAATCCTGCCTTCAAGGATTGCAAAACTTTCACAGAGCTCAAGGGTACAGAATCAGACCCTTTTGGTATAATTTACTTATTTAAAATGGCTAGTGAAATGGCCAATAGAAAGAATACCAGCAGCCAGTAACCCACTTGAGGTAGAGAGTAAGAGATAAGTGAATCAAACGGAGGTTTTTAGAGAGGAAGCCCTAGCACTACATGGCATCATTTGAAACAGAAATACATCATTTCAATGAATCACTGTATACTATTGTCTTAACCTCACTATCTGCTCTTAAGGATTCAGTCTGGGTTTAGAGGCTAGAGAGCCTGATTCTACAGACATAACCACATCAGCCTGACTGGAGGCACAAACACACATGACAGCTTGAACCTGGCCCGGAAGACCACACCCCATAAGCTGACACTCCATAAGCTACAGTCCAGCCTTCAGGAGGGGTCCCTTTCTTACCGAGAGTCTATCAAGGAGGTCCTGTTGGTCCCATCGAGCTGCCGTTGCACCCAGTACACACTGACTCTAGCGTTGGAGACCGGCCTGTGAGACTGCTTGGCAGGCAGGTTTGTCCTGTCCAGAGGCTTTTTGAAAAGCTTCAGTTCAGCCATTGTCACTTCACTGTTTTTAGGTATTCTCCCCTCCATGTCAAAGATGAGATTCTGGCGCGTGGTATCAGAATAGAGGACTTCTCCTGGGATGTCTGTGTGTATTTGGAACAAAAAAAGAGAGCCTGTCATTGCCATGAGCAAAGCCCTGACACTTCATCCGCAATTATCATCACAACACACTCCTTCCATGTTCCCAAGATGATCGCTTGTGTCAGAGTCAGGCACTAAACACACCTTTTCTAATGCATGCTTGAATCAATGTCTTGCAAATGCCCTAATTCTTCTTCTATGTATGAGTCCCTGCAACGTGGAGACAATGGTAAGAAATAGATACAATTCACCCCAGAAGGGAACAAACACTGAAAAGTGTGCATCTCTTTGTGCCGCTGCTGTACATGAAAACAGAAAACTGCACCAAGAGCAATGGAAAACTGTTTTCATTAGCTGTCCAGAATGTTACGTACACCACCTGAAAATGAAGCAAACTTTAAGTGCTCTTGTACAGACACTATTATTGAAAAAGTGAGAGACACTATTATTGAAAAAGTGAGGCTGATTTTCTTGAGGATATTTTTCTAAGAATTAAAAAAAAAAAGACCAGGGAGAGTGAAATAGCCTCAAAGAGGTGATTCCTGTAAGAATGACAAGATGTTCTGGAGTTTTGACCAAAACCTGCAAGGTCTGCACTTCCTACTGACTTTTTTTTACATTTTTTTCCCGCTTCCCAAAATGTTGCCTGGGTACGAACACTCCCCTACCAAGCTCCAGTAGCAGCCTGCTGTTTGTGACTGTGGGGCTGCCTCTCCTGGTGCGAGGAGTTGCTAGTGCAGGTTATTCTTTAAGCTGCTATAACACGCACCTCTTCTACCCAGCTGAGGTTCAGAACCAGTCCCAAACCTCATTTCTCCTGTGGGTTCGCGTTTGCCCACCCTGCGGCTTGGACGGGAAAGCATGGGCACCGAGGTGGGAGTTAACTTCCCCTGGCTACAGCACAACCACTTTGATGCACGACAATCACGGCAGCAATGTTACCTGCGTTGCCAGGGATTCCCCTGAGGATGCCAGCCAGGCTCGGCAAAGCTCTGCGCTTCACCCTGTGGCGCTTCAGCAAGGAGATGTATTTGTTCTTTATGTGGTCGGGGATAACCAGATTCATCAGGTCTCTCTTATGAAGTCTGGGGACCTCGGAGAGCCCCAGCTGCTTTAGCAAAATCTCCTTGACCCCTTCCTGGGTAAATGCTCTGACCGTGATGAGCAGGCAGAGCGCGCAGAGCATCTGGGCGAACCTCACATCCATCCTCCTCCGTCAGCAACACAGCCGCCCACCCGGCAGGGATGAATGGGTGAGTCTCCCCGGGGCTGCTCTTGGCAAAGATGCGGTCACAGGCTGCCTGAGCAGGATGGAGGTCCCCTGCGCCGGCGTTTTATAGCCAGCCTCGTCCCACTGGCACAACAAATTCCACAAGTGGAGACGAAGAAGAGGACTTAAAAGGATCACTCCCCCATCAATAGACACATGGCAGTTTAACACCTTCACGTACCGCAAAGTTAATACAAGGAGGTTTAGGAGAGCTTCCAGATTCCTTCTCGGCAAAGAAGCTTCTGCTCTTTTTTAACTCCCTGTAAACTTTTGCCCAGAGATCACTCCTAAGTGATCGGTGTCTCATATTCAGTCTAGGTCAGAGAGGAAACATCTGCAGAGTGCATTGCTTTATGTACTGCACCATACAATTCATAAAGGAAGTGTCAATCTTTACCGCAGGGGACTTGCTACCTAAAATAGCCAATACCAATCAGAAGAATAACGCTTCAGCTGAAAGTCCATCTTTATGGTAGACATTAAAACATCATTTAAAATCTTTTTGGGGGAAGGTACCTCTCTGATCTCCGAATATTTGTATCAAGCATATGAATCATAGCAGTGAATCACAGCACTCGGATGGTTTATGGCCTTTTACACTGCTTCTGAATGATAGAACGCGGAAGATGTACAGGCCTGACGCTTTGGAAAAATGTCCCATCACTCTTTATGGATTCCTGAGGGTTTAATAATACTTGTGCTTAAAAGAAGATGGCTTTATACCAAGGCAGATCATCTTTCAGTGAACATGAAAAACCACTCTGCTTTTGAACAATATGGAAAAAAAGTTTTGGTATTTTGAACAGTATCAGTAACCACAACAGACAGCAGTCTCTGGGGAGCAGAACTGAACTGGAGCCTGGGTTTGGGGGGGGCGTGTTTGGTTGCCTTGAAGTCAACCTTTAAGCTTTAAGTTCACGCCCTTCGCTTTCCTGGCATTTGCTGCCATGAGATGTGGAAATCTATTTCTTGAAACTAACCCCAGGAGAAGGGAATTGAAAAATAAAACTTAATCAATACAAATCTTAAGAAGCATGGCACCTGGTGCAAATTCTCTGGGGCAGCAGTAACACAATGTGACACTGATATTTGTTTCAAGTATACATACAAATATGTATACATACATACCTGAGCCTGAGCATACACACAAATGTCTTCCTTGTCAAAAGATTTTCCAATTTTATATGTCTCTGTGAATGAGTCAAAATTGGAGCCATTTCATCCAATCTCCATGTTGAATGGTGTGCCCTTAAAAAAGTGTGGCTTGAGGACCCAGGGTAATGAACTTGTACAAAAGCACCCCTTTGTGGTTCATCTCTCATTAAAACAAGAGCAAGCTGAATCAGCCTGCTCTGTAAAGAGGAGACAACAAAACCTTCTGAAAAAGTCTTAAATCCTTCCGGCACTGCCCATTTTGTCTTCTTAATCCTTTAACAAACTTCTCTCCTTAAATATGCCAAAGACTCCATTAGATGTTAAAGGGGCACCTCATTTGGTTGAATTTTAAGGCTACAATGGAAACATAATATAGGCTACAAACTAATAGATATGTGCATGGCCCAGGGCAGTATCTGGATCACAAATTCTCCCAAACCTTACACTCTTTGATCTTTCTCTTTTCTCTTTCTCACCGTTCTCTGAACAAATCAATACTTTGTGTTATATTAATTTCCAATACGCTAATAAGGAGTGAAAAATAGCTACTTTACTTGACTGCTATAACTTCAACTCATGTCAAAAATGCCTACTCTTCCAAAGAAGATGGAAGATTTCTCACGGAAATCTTTGTGATTCTCTCTGCCCCCCTTGGGAAGGCTACGTAGGCCCTGCTCTTCCCTCCGAGCTGCCTCTCCAGCTAAATGGCACGCTACTGATTCGCCTGCTCGCACCCTGGGATGTGATAAACAGAGTCACACAAACTGCTGAGGCTTGGTGCTGACAAACTTTGCTTCAGATACGCTCTATAAATGTCTCCTAACTCTGTTCCAGCAACAAAGTTGGATAAGTTTTTGCAGTGGGGAGAGTCATTACCTCCTGTAAAAAATTGCAGTCCATGTATTTGTCTCGTATTAAACAGGTCAGAAAACCTGCTCCTGAAACCTTTATCCCTCCAATGAGTCTTTATTCTGGCAAGTAGTCCAACTGTTTAGTGACAGCTCTTCAAATAAATATGATTACATGAAATAAAAATCCCTGATAGCTCCATCAGCACCCAGCTTTTCTGGATCCAGAAGTAACTTCTCTTGTGGCTGATGTCTAATCTATTAGGATGAAGACTCTTTGCTGTCCAGTGTGTATTAGAAGGTGATTTATGGGCTTCACACACAAAATAAAATTATTGAGCAAACACAGTTGAAGCTCAGCTAAGAAAAAAACAGAGGATGTGGATTGTAGGCTTTTCACAGGAGAGTGATTATCTGGTCCAATTGGAGGATTTGCCTTTCCCCCTTTGTCATGCAAACAAGAAAAGTCAGGAATTTTATAATAGCTCTTTCTGTGTAATGTGTATTGGAACCTACCTGGTACTTTCAAAATGTCAAACAGAGGATTTAAAGAGGCTGCAAGGGATGAAGAATAAGCAACTTATAGGTTTAATAAAAGCCAGTACTTAGTGGAGAGAGAATCTATGTTTAAAATTTCAATTTAGTTTCAAACAGTTCTCTAAGACATTGTCTGAGCATATCTAGGCAATGATTTTTGGTAAATAAATCTAATGGGTTAAAAGAGAAAGTGTGAAAGGCTTAGCCTAATTATATAGCTATTATCCTGAGAAACAAGAATGTTTCAAACACATTTGCAGTGTGTGAGTGAGGGTTTGAATTTGTCAAGATTTGTATTTCCGTAGACATAATTATTCCATACAACAATTGGGCCCACATTAGAACAGCCTGTGCTTGAGCGATGTTGAAGGCCGCAGTTTTTGCATGCTCCATGAAATGCCATGATCTGTGTACCAGGTTTATTGTATAGAGATGGGACCACACCTCCATGTTGATTTCAGTCTGTTTTTTCCCAAAAGTCAGGGTTATTTGAATCTAGGAGCATGGAAATAAAACTAATAGTGTTACGATCCAGGTATAAACATTCCCAATTTAAAGAAGAATTCAGGTAGAGGTTCTGTTTGACCATTTCTAGTATTTTCTTACTTTTTTCTGTCTTAAGCACACTGAGTTTCACATAGTTACCACATAAACACAGACTAGACTACTCGCATGAAGGGCTGGGCTAGAGGTTTCAAAAACGGGAATGCTATGCATCAGGGCATGCTCTTCTCATACTGCCTCAACAATAAACCCCAAGAATCTCCAATCAGTGCTTTAAAATTAATATTCCAATCAGCATTTTAAACCCAAGCTACACATCTTTAATCAGGATTTCAGAGGCATCTTTGGCTTCCTTCTTGACTAGCACAGTCCATGCCAGTGCTGGGACTCCTGCTTCTCTGCAGGGTCCAGTCCTGTGTCAAACAAGTCCAGACTGCGAGCGTCAGCCCCCAGAGCCAAAAGGAGCCACTGAGCTCAGTGTGGGAAAGCCACCCAGCTGCCATCAGACAGCAGCTAGTTTTCACTCATTTTGGATTTAGACCTAAATTCTAAATAGCGACGAAGACAAAGAACTTCCCATTTCCTCCAGCGCAGTATGAGAGTGAGGTGTTACCTGGAGCAGGAGTCGGTGTTCCCTGAGCTCACAGCTCAGCCTACCCTCGCTGCAAGCACAGCTGTGGGACCGCAGCACAGCACTGGTGCCTCAGCCAGAGAGGCAGCCTCTCTATTTTGATGGCGCCTTTACGCAAGAAGAAAAGGGCGGTGAATGTCTCATCCCCCCCATACGGTTTCAGTGCAGCACAGACTGGGCAGTTTAGTCCCCTACCTCCTTTGGGTGGTTTTACCTCTTCTGTGCACTAGCTGCTCAATGGCCCAAATGAAAACTACAACTTCTTTTGTTTAGGGTTTCTTTTTAGTTGGATCAGCAAGTTGCTCTGGCTCACTGCCCAGCTCTTTCTTAAATTAGCAAATACTGAATCTAAGAAAATTCACTTACACTCTCTGGAAGAGGCCACGAAAACATTTAATCAAAAATGATCTTAGTAACTTCACCTAATCTCTCCCAAGAACAGAAAGGGCTGGACAGAGTTTCCTTACGAGCCACTCTGGCCAGAAAGGTCTCTAACAAACTATGCAAAGCACTTCTGACGCCTGGAATCAGGCACTGGCTCCAGTTCTCAGAAATGACGAAGCAAAAAAACTAGCGGCAAGCCCTAAGTCTCCTTTTTTGATGAAAGGATGAAAGACCTTCACTTGAGAAATTCCTCCACCACTAAGAGCAAGTGAGCAGGTCACAGCGTCATCATTGCGTTCGTTTGCCACCTCATCTCCAAACACCACCAGCCTGGTCTGGAGATGCTCCAATCTGTTCTATATCGCTTCCTTGAAAATGGTATACGCCTACTGAAAGACACTGGCAAATTACCTTCCTAGGGTGGTGGCTTTCCTTCCTCCTCTTCTTTTACAGATAGCTACTCTTTCATTAGGGTATGAATAGCTGGCACAGTATAAAGAACCAGAATAACAGTACCCAGGACTCGCTGGGGACAGTATACCTTGCTAGAGTTTGCATGAACGCTGCCCATGGCCTCAGCCTGCTCTGCAAGATTCCTGCATGGAAGAGTTTCATAAGCTATGGTCGGATAACATGAGGCATCCAGCTTTTGTCTGGCTCCCAGTGCCAGACCGAAAACAGCACCGCCACTTAACGCAAAGTGCTGATCTGCTATAAACTCCGTCTGCTGGTTCTGATTTGTTCTAAAAATTTGACCGTGTGATTTTCGTGCCAAAAGGCTTTATGCTAGATTGGGTATTGCCTGGCTTCTCTCTCCTTCCGTGTGTACCTCCATGAGTCCCCTGCAGCGACCATAAACTCAAAAAAAACTGACTTTG